ATTCGTTCTTCTTTTCCTCTAGAAAAAAAGAACAAATTTTAAAAATAATAATTATTATGACCTAAAAGTGCAAAAAATAATATTGAAACAATTCAAATAAAAAGTTCAAATATGATTGTAATTTTATTCGTTCCAGTTAATCACAATTACCATTATCTGTTATTCCAATTTTAGGGAGAGGAAAAAATGAGGAGAAAAGAAAAAAAAAACCGATTAAAATTCCGATATCAATAAAAACAGGGAAAAGGAGAAAAAAAAAATGAAAAAAAAGAAAAAAAAAACAAATCATTACATTTAATCCAATCGGATCCAATTCATATCTCATACATTCAATAAACCAAACCAATCCATACCCATTCAATTTGTTTTTTCCACAAAAATTCTTTTCTCCATTTATTTTCATTCTTCAAAATTGTTCACCTCATTCACTAAACATTACCTATATCTATCTTGCCCCTCTTGAATTAAAATTTAATTTAACTAAAAATTTTACTACTATCAAATCAAATCAACTATCATTATCATCATTCTAATCATCATCATCATCATCATCATCATCATCATCATCATCATCATCATCATTATCATTATCATCATCATCATCATCATCATTCTACCCATCATTTCCTCCTCCTCTTCGCCTCTTTTTCGCCCCGTGCGTGAAATGTTTAAACGACAGATAGGATAGCAAAAGTGACGATGACAACAACATCACTACCGATCGCCATCGAATTGCAAATGCATGCCCGCAGCTGTTAACTGCTCCGCCTTCAACAGCAACCTGTCCCTCTGTTTCAAACATTTTGTAAAATTCATATCTGTCTCTGCACATGTATGCTACTGCATATTTCTATATATTTATCGTATATATCTATGTTTATCAGATGATTCAATAAATATTGCTACGTACTTTCATTTCACTTCACTTCACTTCACTTCACTTCACTTCACTTATTTCACTCAATCGTTTAAATCAGATAACAATCTTTTCAAATCGAAATCACTATTTCATCAACCAGTATATTACACTATTTATTAAATGAAATTGGCAGTAACTATATCATTCATGGATGATGACGATAATGCAATTCAGTTAGCTTAATTGGATTAAGCATGAATCTGTGGTGTATGTTATAAATGTATGTCATTACAGCGATAATTTTAGACAATAATGATGATAGTATGAATAGGAACGAAAAAAAGATATATACGATAAATATATAGAAATATCCAGTAGCATACATAATAGTAAATAACGATGGTTTAAGATGATGATGATGATGATTATGATAGTGATAGTGATAGTGATAGTAGTGAATAAGGACTGTTCAAGATGGTGATAAATAACGACGGTTTAAAGCAATGGTAATGCTGACGATGATGAAGTCTAAGATGATGAGATAGTGAATAACGATGGTTTAGGATGATGATGATGATGATGATGGTAGTGAACAACAACGGCTTAGGATAATAATTGGTGACGACGACAATGAATAAGAACGGTTCGAGATGATGATGATCAGGAAGAGACTGATGATGATGATGATTACGATGATGATGAATAACATTTCATGATCCATATAAATTTATGCATGTACTGTTTAAAGCTACTAATAAATTATCCCTCTACATCCTGCTTCTCCGGCAAACTCTAGCATTATTTATAACATTAATTTAAAAATAAAATTAATGGAGAGCGACGAAATGGGCGTATTTAGTATGTTAATCCATTACAATCAATGACTTGTGTATACTGAATTATTAAAACAATATTATTAACAAATAATTAACACAAATATTACAGTTGTTCCAAACATTAAAAAAAAACAAGACGCTCAAAAATAAATCTTAAAAGTGCTTTTTGAAGAAATAAATTATGTTTTGAAAAATATGGTATTGGTTAGAAATGTCGGAAAATGATGGATACGTATCAGGTGAAGAAATGCCACATTTTTTTTTATCAATTAAAACATTTTATCGTCTCTTCCATACGTTTTACACATCTCACTGCGCTCAAGATCTCTTAAAAATCACTTCTACTAAATTTAACCGTATAAAACTTTTCAATTCTGCAAGACATGTATTTATAAAAAATTTTGTCCTAATTCTGATGAACATCAGATAAAATGGTTGTCACCACTTAAACGGCGAACAACGATGAACGAGGAAACTGTTTAACAGATTTTGGTAAATTTATTGAAAAATGAAAATGAAATTTCAGATGGAAGAATCAAACTTTCCTCCCAAAGAAATCAACAATTTCCGTACTACTCCAGTAACCAATTAGGTACTCCAAATCCACCTTCACCCAGTGTAAAATTACTTTATCCCTTCCAGTCATCTGCATCCAACAAAGTACAATATAAATAAATCAGCCCTGCTGAAAGCAAAACTTTATTTCTTGTATATTTATTCATGTCGCCTGTACAACAGAACTTTCACTAAATTTTCTGTCAACAAAATTTTCGTACATTTGTCAACAAAACATAACAAAAACCAATAAAAAATGTTTTTAAAAAAGAGGTTCAGGAAATTCGAAAGCAATATCTTTTCCTGTAAGATGCTTGTAGATCGCAGAAAATGTATCCACCTGAAAAACCAAAAAATAAGCAAATTAATTTATTCATTTAGGGCAGTGTTTCCTGATTTTCTGATTCACATTTAATTTACCGCATACTCGCATATGTATACTCCCTTCACATGAACTGCTATAAGTCAATAATTACACAACCTAATCAGATTTTTTTGAATCACAAAATAGTATAAATTGTAGCAGTTCATGTTAAAGAGATCTCTTCCCAAGAAACATCTCATATTCGGAAGGAACAGTTAATATTTTAACAACAAGCTTTTCAACTGCTAAAGAATACAGGCATGCATAATTATACGTCGACATGTCAAAATATGAACTTAATAGTCAAACGAAAGAATACAAATAAAAACGTGCTTAGAATATCGTTATTATTTGCTGAAATAAACTATTAATGATCGATTAAAAAATGAAAAGAGGATAAAATTTAAGCAGTAAGCTCAATTTCTGTTTTATCAACAGCCTTCATATACTTATGAGGAAAAATTGCACTCATTTAGTGCATTAATTATTAACATTACCTTATGTTCAACATTTGTCTGCTGAGTTTTATCAAGATGCACCTTCATGATACGCTTCCCATCTAACTTCACTCTAATTCTTCGTCCGACAACTTCAGCAGGATATACTAAATCAGCAAGCATTGCATCATGCACCGCAGTTAGAGTACGTGAACGTGGACGCTTCTGTTTTTGTGGTTTCCTGTTCTTACCACGTTTAGGTTTTGGTAATATACGACGCTGAAATTGATCACAAATGTTGATTAAGAACATTCGTATTAAAAACGAATTTCAGTAAAAAAATACTAAATCATCGGATCTTTTTTATATTTCTGATGTAAGGAACGATTCACACATTTCGATTTTCATCATTAAATGTGTGAATTTATTTCATCGATATAAATTATGTGGTAATCTACGAAATAATGGAGCTCCTCTTACCCTGGCAATAAATACGACATGCTTGCCACTAAATTTCTTTTCCAATTCGCGCACAAGGCGAGGCTGAATTTTTTGAAACTGTCGCAATTGTGGTACAGGCACATAGACGATGATACTCTTTTTGTTACTAGCATTTGGTACATCAACTTCCTGAAAAATTAATATAAAATCTCCTAAACTAGGACTAAACATGATGCCGAAAAAAGGATTAAAATTAAATGTAGCACAATAAAATAAAACGAAAAAAGAAAAAAAATCTAAATTCCACATTGTTTCATGTATGATATAAATTCTGCAGCAAAATTTTTCAAATTTTATAAGTACCATCACAAGTACAATTACTATACCTTCGCGCCGACAATGTAAAGTTCACGCAATTGAGCACGAATATCGGAATTACTTTCTAAATCAGCGATCGCATTTGATACTTGCTTCTCCAACTCGTCCGGTACTTTTCCTTCCGGTACAACAATTTTCGATGAACCTTCCGGCATCGTTTATTTGACAAATTTTCTTCACCAAGCAACAAACAGCTCAAAAATTCTTCTTCCCTTAATGATAATAGTTGTATACTGATCAGGGAATTAAATATAACGACAATTAACTCTTCTCCTTCGAAATATGAAAAAAAAAGTCATAAACTGAGGAAAGTTAATTACAACTGAGAAAGTTAATTACAACATACAAATAACTAATACACCAATAACTACTACATTTATCATTGAATTATGAAAACATAAAAGTAATGATCAAATAACACACAGACGTAATTTTATGTGCATGACTTCAATCAAACATAGACCACGTTAAGAATACGTGCTAAATACGAAAGAACACGTGCTAAATACGTAGATGTAAACGTGTAAAGACGGGACCACACGATCAGCTCCTCCACACACACACCACCGAAAACAAGAACAACATAGCAAATCTGACCAAAGGCCTAAATATCTGTGCAACTGCGTGGCTCTTGCCAGAAGAGAGCCATTATGAAATTCTTTCGGATTAGCGCTGCTAAAATTAGCATTTTGACGAAAGATCAGTCGAGAAAACATCTCGACTGCTATCTGAGACGTCTTATGAAGTAGCTAATGGATGAATTAGTCCTCCTGTCACTGAAAATTCGAACGAGGAGGTGATAATTGGATCAAAAAATTTGGCAGTGTGAAATCTCAGAGGAGAAACGTCAAAAGTTGAGGTAGAAACTGCGCAAAAAAGGGAAACGTGTGCTAAATTCAATGCAGCAATCAATACATCAATTAAGTGAAGATTTCCATAAACTTTGTAATTCGAACTCCTTACGCTACCAACTCAATATTAAGGTCATAGGTCAAAGACCATATCAGCACAGTTACCTTATTTTGATAGTTACTGCATATCAACGATATTTCTTACAGAAACTTCTTCCATCAGTGAAATCATTCATATTCATATTTATTAGTCATATAATTGCAGATCGACTTTTTTTTTTAAATTTATAATTTGATTAATCTTATTGGATCAAATTTTACACGTTTTAAAATTTTGCAAACATTATATGCCGTTCCAGAAGGAATAAGCAACCAAAGTTCTCCGTAACACAAAACGATTTTCAAATATTGGATGAGAAATATGCATGAAAGTCACGTATAGAGGAAATTACACACCAGGGAAACATTTACGTAAAATGAAAAATGAAAGCGTTAAGATGTAAAATGTAATTAAAGGTTGAAAAAAAAAGCTGTAATACGTTTGCAGTAATCGATATCATATTTTGGGATATGCTGAATCGCTTATCATGACGTAACGTATAATGATTATGTACCCATTAAATTTTTGTTTTATTTATAAAATATTCCGAAAAATTAAATTACTTTTTATATGACTAATATTTGCAGAGTACGGTAAAAACGGAAATGAACCGTATATGCATGATGAAAAATATTCGTATGAAATGTTCACATGAAATGGATTTAATCGATTCATTAAAAAACAACTGATTTAGTTCGATAATTTTCCGGGATGATTTCTTGAAACTTTTTTAGGCAATATTAAAAATTTTAGATTTGTTATGAAATGGCTTTTCTTCTTCAAATTTGTTATTTTATGCGTGTATAATTTCAAAAGTACGCGGTTTGCAATTCATTTCTAAGATTTTAGATTATCGTTTAAATATGCTTTAGTTGACATAATTTTAAATTTTGCCAGAAATTATGTAACGCTATAGTTTGTTCAAAATAATATATAATTATTTTGCGTGTTTTCTGTTGCACATTTACTCAGATGTTCGCGCATAACTGAAATAATTGAATTAGTAAATCACACTTAAAATTTTATGATTATCCTTAAAAAATTTACTAAGCAAAAGGAAATTGATTCTATTCATTCCATATCACATAATATCATATCTGTTATAATTACTGTTAACTTTGCACATGTAACCATTTGAAAGCCTAATAATGATTCAATTAAAATGTTATACATCCGAAAAGGTAACATCGTTTTCTTCTTTTAATGATTACATTTTGATGACATTATTAACTGCCACAAATTTTTGTATTTAATTAATATAGTTAACTTTATACCCGTATGTATA